TTATTATTATAAGTTGGAACAACATTTGATTGTTCAATTAAAACTTCTTTGAATGCTGGTATAGTTGGACATTCCCCAGCAGGATGTCCTGACAATGCACAAATTTCACATATTTGGTTAGTAGAGGTAACAACAGATATTTGCTTAATTTTTTTCATTTCCAAAGCCTCTAGTTTTCGAGATAGATTAGCCATTTTAGCTCTTAAATCATCATCGTCTTTCAAAATATATTTTTCTCTTTCAGATGTAGATGGCTTATTTTCTGCAATGTTTGAAGAAGTCGAGTTCCACATCTAGGAATTCTCAAAAATAGTATCAAAAAATTGAAATGCTTCTTCAAGGTTTTTATTCATAAACTCTCCTTGGGCCATTATTTCAACAAATTGTCTCATTGCAAATGGAAGTGCATCATAAAAGAAACCAACTAAAGTCCAGTTTTCAAATGCATGATGTGGACTAGCTTGGAGAAGATCTTTAAATCTTTCCCAACATTGATAAAAATTTTCTTTTTCTTTGACAGTAAAATTCATGATTTGGCGTCTTAATGCATTAGTACGATGCACAAGAAATTTTTTTTTAAAGAAATCAGTTTGTAAAGCTTGCCAATTTGTGATTGAATTTGCGCTTAATGAGTTAAGTCATAGTTTAGTTTTATCCTTTAATGAGAAAGGAAAAAGTTTCAATTTAACCATTTCAGAATTATCTTGCAAATTTCCACAGACTTCTTCAAATTCTTTCATATAAACATAAGGATTTTCGTCTTCTAAACCATGAAATTGTGGTAGTAGTTGTATAGTTCATGGTTTAATATTAAAATTTGGAGCGTCTGTTGGAAAAGCAAAACATGACAGGACATTAGTTCTTGTAGGATGTAGATATTCTCTTAACGGTCGGACATTTTGAATTACTTCATGTTCTCTCTCTTCTTGTTGTCTAGGTACGTTTTGAGTCATACTTAAGTCAAAGGATTCTGGTGTAGATGTAGATGATGATGAAGATGATGTATGAGTTGACTAATCACAGAACCTACGGATGAATGAACAGACATAGACTATTAAAAACAAGCAAACAAACTATAAACATATAATACAAATAAACAAATATTTTTTTATTTTTATTTATTTATTTATTTTTATTTATTTTTTCAAATTACTATAACTCCCCGGCAACGGCGACAAAAACTTGATTCGCACTTTTTAGTGATATAAATTATATTATATTATACACCCAAGTATAAGTGGTCAAATTATAATTTTCTCGGCTTTAAGTCCAAGTATCAATCCCACAAAGATTTTAGTAATTCTTGTTGAAAATAAAAAGAAAAAGTTAAAACAGTAAAATAGTTGTTTGAAGTAGTGTGATGTTTGATAGCTTGTNGGATCGTGTTGCTGATTCTCTTTCTCTTTTCTTTCTTTCTTTTTCTCTTTTCTCTCAGGAGCTCTCAGTTGTCCAGCCTCATTTTGAAGTGAAGAAGGTGCCTATTTATAGTCGTTTAGGAAGCATGAGGTGGAAGAAGTCAGGATAATCATCAAGGGTGACCGTCTGGACGCCATTACCACTGTCCGGACGGTGGTGCTTTGCTGGAATTTGCAACTNCGTGTTATTGGAAAGTCAATCGGCAAGTCTGATGTATATAAACCATAACACAGCTACTTCTTAGNTATTTATTTAATTTTATTTATTTTTTCAAATTACTATAACTCCCCGGCAACGGCGGCAAAAACTTGATTCGCACTTTTTAGTGATATGAATTATATTATATTATACACCCAAGTATAAGTGGTCAAATTATAATTTTCTCGGTTTTAAGTCCAAGTATCGATCCCACAAAGAGTTTAGTAATTCTTGTTGAAAATAAAAAGAAAAAGTTAAAACAATAAAATAGTTGTTTGAAGTAGTGTGATGTTTGATAGCTTGTGATGTGAGCTTAGATTGATAACTAGTTTATTTAAATAAAAGCAATGCGGAAATAAAGTACAGAGATAATAAAGTGCGTAAATAAAACAGATTAATGACAGAAATATGAAAGATATCATTCAGCTTAAGGATACCATATGCATTATATTGGTTAAATTCTGAAAATGCTACCTCACAACAATTAACTCTCGTGTTATTGGAAAGTCAATCGGCAAGTCTGATGTATATAANCATGTTACTGGAAAGTCAATCGGCAAGTCTGATGTATATAAACCATAACACAGCTACTTCTTAGGCTACACTGGTGGTAATATATTATAACACAGCTGCTTCTTAGGCTACACCGGATATAGATGTGCCAGTTAAACATCCTCAACGTTCCGGTGGAAGCAAAGTCATACCGATAGGAACATCGTAGTTGTTAGACTGTCATAATAGTTATATATAATAATAATCAACCCTAATAACCCAGAAGGACAAGTCATTCATGAGGATCATTTAGGTTTGTACCACACATCAGTCAACTTCCTCAGCATTTCGGTGGAGGAAAAGTCATACCGATAAAAACGTCGTGGTTGTTTAACCAGCAGGTCTTATGATATACTGATGATATAATCCAAGGCACAGCACCGGAATTATACACATCACTATATCACGCATTAAGCATATAATACATATATAAATAAACGTATAAATAAAACATCAGCATTTCCATAATCTAGCCAATATGATACATATGTTCTCCTCGCACTGGAGGGTATAAACGACTACTCACGCTCCATTGCTACAGACAAGCAAGGAGTGCGGGCAGTTGTCATTACAACTAAAATTAAAGTAAAAACTTCTTTCACAGAGAACAACTGAAACACAACCACATTTTATTATCACGTAAGACAAAAAAAGTGGCAGCAGTTCAATTATCCAAATAGAAAGTTACAAAAAATAAAATACAGAGTTTGGACTGGATCGTGTTGCTGATTCTCTTTCTCTTTTCTTTCTTTCTTTTTCTCTTTTCTCTCAGGAGCTCTCAGTTGTCCAGCCTCATTTTGAAGTGAAGAAGGTGCCTATTTATAGTCGTTTAGGAAGCATGAGGTGGAAGAAGTCAGGATAATCATCAAGGGTGACCGTCCGAACATCATCACCACCATCCGGACGGTGGTGCTTTGCTGGAATTTGCAACTTGCATGCATGCTGACTCTTCATTTGATTTAATTATACTTTAGCCTTTGTATTTTCAAGCTTCCCTACTTGACACCTTGTATTCTGTAGTAATTCTGTATTAAACCTGCAATTTTGAATATAAACTGTTAAAAACACTAATTACCGTACAAACCCTAATTCATACTAATTACTGATTTTCTGTTGTTTTATTTTATTAATTTGATTTATTTGACTACTCTAATTTACACACTAACTAGGGTTAATCAGTTAGGATAACAAATCAGAAGGTAAAAGACTTCATATGGAGGAGTATAGTCTGTTGCTTCGAAATACCCCATGCCATTGTGAGTAAAAATGTCAAACAGTTTGACAACAAACTCCTTAATAGCTTCTGTGCCGACCTACAGATCAAGCAGCCCCACTCCAGCCCCACCCATCCACAGGCAAATGGGCAAGCAAAGGTTACCGTCAGAACCATCCTCCGCAATTTGAAAACCAGGCTAGAAAGTGCAAAAGGACGATGGGTAGATGAACTCCCAGGAGTGTTGTGGGCTTACCAGAAGACACCAAGGAGCCCCATATGCAAGACCCTTTTTTTCTTAGCCTATGGGACAGAGGCGATTAAACCCATCGAGATTGGGGTTCACTCCCTTAGGGTCCAGCACTATGACCCTACTAGTAACGAAGAAAGCCTCCGCATCAACCTCGACTTGGTAGAGAAGGTGAGGGAGATAGCTATGCTAAGGAATGCAGAGTACAAGTGTCACATGACTAAGCAATACAACTCGAGGGTGAGGCCTCGCACGTTCATGCCTAGGGACCTAGTCCTCAAAATGGTCATCCTGTCTACCAAAGACTCCTGGGAAGGAATATTGGGACCCAATTAGGAAGGACCCTACATGGTCACGGAAGTTGTAAGACCAGGTACTTATAGAATCCAGAATTTTGAGAAAAAAGTCCTAGCCCATCCATGGAACGCAGAGCATTTAAAGAAATACTACCAGTAGCTCGAGGCAAGGCAGTGAATGTATAAGTCAAGTAGTCACCGTTTAGATTATTTGTTTTTATTTCGGTCAATTTCCCTTAAACATTTACTTTGAATTATGAAATAAAATTTTGCAATATACATGGTTGGATAATGAAGGCAGGCTATTCCAATGATCTGTTTTTGAGCAGTTCCTTGGTTATCTTTTATAGGAAATCGGGATGCTTAGAAGGTGCTCACTTTGTTTTTGGACAGCTCACGTTGCCAAATATTGTAAGGAAGAGCGTTTTGATGAAGTTATTGGTGTGTTTAAGGAGATGGGGGGGAGTGAAGATGAATAGCTTTACGTTTTCTAGTGTTCTCAAGGCCTGTAGAAAGTTGACGGATGATGGATACTATGGTCGGCAAGTCCATGCCAAAGCGATAAAATTAGGGGTTAATTTGAAAAGTTATGTGCAATGTGGATTGGTTGACATGTATGGGAAATTTGGGTTAGTGAGAAATGCTAGAAGGGTGTTTGAGATGAATGGTGTAAAGAAAAATGCTGCATGTTGGAATGCAATGCTTAACGCTTACATACAACATGCAAGTTGCATTGAGGTTGTTAAGGTACTTTATGTGATGAAGGGAGGTGGCTTAGAACCAAGGGAATCATTGGTCAATGCAGTGTGGTTTTTTTGTGGTAGTACAAATCTGGAAAATAAGTTCGATAAGATGTTTTAATAGAATTAGTATTTGAATGCAGTTGGAATGCCAGGTTTTCCTCTATTAACTGCTCCCAATCACTGGCTGGCGGTTCTTATCTTTCTATGGAACTATGGGAGCATCTTGGCATAGCAATACCACAATTGACTATACCTGGGATGGATATTGATACTTGTTTTTGTGCCCTATTTTTGCTTACTGGATAGCCTTTGAGGATCGGAATATAGATGTAGTGAATTTCATGGTAGAGATATGATAGATTGCTATATTTTTGGAGATTTTACATTCTTTCAAGGCTTTAGATATGAGAGATTGATTGCCATATTTTTGGGTGTTGGAGCAGCACCTTTCTGATGCAGCAAGTGTAGAAATTTCAGTAGGTATGTGAACGAGAGTCTTTCGGATTGTACCTTCATCCGTTTTAGCCATTATTTTAAATTAGATAATTTGTAACTATAAATTAAAAAAATAGTAAATGATAATTCATTTTTTTGATANAGATCGTGTTGCTAATTCTCTTTCTCTTTTCTTTCTTTCTTTTTCTCTTTTCTCTCAGGAGCTCTCAGTTGTCCGGCCTCATTTTGAAGTGAAGAAGGTGCCTATTTATAGTCGTTTAGGAAGCATGAGGTGGAAGAAGTCAGGATAATCATCAAGGGTGACCGTCCGGACATCATCACCACCATCCGGACGGTGGTGCTTTGCTGGAATTTGCAACTTGCATGCATGCTGACTCTTCATTTGATTTAATTATACTTTAGCCTTTGTATTTTCAAGCTTCCCTACTTGACACCTTGTATTCTGTAGTAATTCTGTATTAAACCTGCAATTTTGAATATAAACTGTTAAAAACACTAATTACCGTACAAACCCTAATTCATACTNAAACCGTATTGGCTGGTACAATGAGCTTTCTTAGAGCATCTCCAATAACAAAAACTGTTTTAGTTATTCAAAAAATAATATTTTCTATTTTAGCTATTCACTTTTTCAATACACACTCCAACAAATTTTCTAAATTTTTAACTACTTCTTTTAAATATTATTTTTCATTCTTTTTGTATTATTTTTTTTNATATGGAGGAGTATAGTCTGTTGCTTCGAAATACCCCATGCCATTGTGAGTAAAAATGTCAAACAGTTTGACAACAAACTCCTTAATAGCTTCTGTGCCGACCTACAGNTTGGAATAGTAAAAGGGAGAAATAGAGAGAATGAAAGAAAGGAGAGGAATAGAGAAAAAAAATTATAAAAATTTTTTACATATCGCTATAGTGATACTCTAAATATAGAGTATCACTATAACAAAATGTTATTTTAGAGTTTTTGATGATAACCTGTTCGAGTGAAAATTTTGGGCTAAATACCTAAAATTTGAAGATTTTGTGTGTTTTGGATCATCNAGATCAAGCAGCCCCACTCCAGCCCCACCCATCCACAGGCAAATGGGCAAGCAAAGGTTACCGTCAGAACCATCCTCCGCAATTTGAAAACCAGGCTAGAAAGTGCAAAAGGACGATGGGTAGATGAACTCCCAGGAGTGTTGTGGGCTTACCAGAAGACACCAAGGAGCCCCATATGCAAGACCCTTTTTTTCTTAGCCTATGGGACAGAGGCGATTAAACCCATCGAGATTGGGGTTCACTCCCTTAGGGTCCAGCACTATGACCCTACTAGTAACGAAGAAAGCCTCCGCATCAACCTCGACTTGGTAGAGAAGGTGAGGGAGATAGCTATGCTAAGGAATGCAGAGTACAAGTGTCACATGACTAAGCAATACAACTCGAGGGTGAGGCCTCGCACGTTCATGCCTAGGGACCTAGTCCTCAAAATGGTCATCCTGTCTACCAAAGACTCCTGGGAAGGAATACTGGGACCCAATTAGGAAGGACCCTACATGGTCACGGAAGTTGTAAGACCAGGTACTTATAGAATCCAGAATTTTGAGAAAAAAGTCCTAGCCCATCCATGGAACGCAGAGCATTTAAAGAAATACTACCAGTAGCTCGAGGCAAGGCAGTGAATGTATAAGTCAAGTAGTCACCGTTTAGATTATTTGTTTTTATTTCGGTCAATTTCCCTTAAACATTTACTTTGAATTATGAAATAAAATTTTGCAATATACATGGTTGGATAATGAAGGCAGGCTATTCCAATGATCTGTTTTTGAGCAGTTCCTTGGTTATCTTTTATAGGAAATCGGGATGCTTAGAAGGTGCTCACTTTGTTTTTGGACAGCTCACGTTGCCAAATATTGTAAGGAAGAGCGTTTTGATGAAGTTATTGGTGTGTTTAAGGAGATGGGGGGGGAGTGAAGAAGAATAGCTTTACGTTTTCTAGTGTTCTCAAGGCCTGTAGAAAGTTGACGGATGATGGATACTATGGTCGGCAAGTCCATGCCAAAGCGATAAAATTAGGGGTTAATTTGAAAAGTTATGTGCAATGTGGATTGGTTGACATGTATGGGAAATTTGGGTTAGTTAGAAATGCTAGAAGGGTGTTTGTAATGAATGGTGTAAAGAAAAATGCTGCATGTTGGAATGCAATGCTTAACGCTTACATACAACATGGAAGTTGCATTGAGGTTGTTAAGGTACTTTATGTGATGAAGGGAGGTGGCTTAGAACCAAGGGAATCATTGGTCAATGCAGTGTGGTTTTTTTGTGGTAGTACAAATCTGGAAAATAAGTTCGATAAGATGTTTTAATAGAATTAGTATTTGAATGCAGTTGGAATGCCAGGTTTTCCTCTATTAACTGCTCCCAATCACTGGCTGGCGGTTCTTATCTTTCTATGGAACTATGGGAGCATCTTGGCATAGCAATACCACAATTGACAATACCTGGGATGGATATTGCTACTTGTTTTTGTGCCCTATTTTTGCTTACTGGATAGCCTTTGAGGATCGGAATATAGATGTAGTGAATTTCATCGTAGAGATATGATAGATTGCTATAGTTTTGGAGATTTTACATTCTTTCAAGGCTTTAGATATGAGAGATTGATTGCCATATTATTGGCTGTTGGAGCAGCACCTTTCTGATGCAGCAAGTGTAGAAATTTCAATAGGTATGTGAACGAGAGTCTTTCGGATTGTACCTTCATCCGTTTTAGCCATTATTTTAAATTGGATAATTTGTAACTATAAATTAAAAAAATAGTAAATGATAATTCATTTTTTTGATATAATACGATAAAGCAATTGAAGGTCCAGGTGGAAGTAGTAAACTGACAAATAAATGAAGTAGTAAGCAATTGTCGGATGATTTCCCATCTCCTGAGAAATATCCTAAGTGAGGTGGACTTTATCCATACCGTATTGGCTGGTACAATGAGCTTTCTTAGAGCATCTCCAATAACAAAAACTGTTTTAATTATTCAAAAAATAATATTTTTTATTTTAGCTACTCACTTTTTCAATACACACTCTAACAAATTTTCTATATTTTTAACTACTTCTTTTAAATATTATTTTTCATTCTTTTTGTATTATTTTTTTTTTGGAATAGTAAAAGGGAGAAATAGAGAGAATGGAAGAAAGGAGAGGAATAGAGAAAAAAAATTATAAAAAAGTTTTACATATCGCTATAGGGATACTCTAAATATAGAGTATCACTATAACAAAATGTTATTTTAGAGTTTTTGAAGATAACCTGTTCGACTGAAAATTTTGGGCTAAATACCTAAAATTTGAAGATTTTGTGTGTTTTGGATCATCTGCTAGAGATGCTCTTAAGAATACCAATTCTTTCCTTTGCATTCATTGATTCCTTCCGCCATATCTGGTACCACAAGTATCCATCAATCTACTAAGTATCTCCAATTCACGGGATACGAATGGGTCGTAGAGCCTACTATCCCCACCACCAGGATTGATAGAGGCTTATCTGATTCATCAATCCCTGCTGCTTCATCGGATGGATCGAGGCAGGAATGAATCTTTTGATATTTATTTATCTTCATTCTTTACATAATATACACAGATCACTATACACTTTCGAAAGTAGGTAGCATTATAACTAAACCTGCAGTACACGAATGAATCTTTCGATATTTATTTCCCTTCATTATTTACATAATATACACATATCACTATACACTTTCGAAAGTAGGTAGCATTATAACTAAACCTGAAGTACACGAGCACTATGCAAAATAATAGTAATATGTAGTAGGTTCACTAGAGGCCTCCTTGTCATCTTCAAAAGAAAAGTTCAAACAGTTAAAATTAGGAAAAATCTACCGTGCAAATTTGGTAATAAAAATAAAATTAGGCACAAGTTGGGGCACAAAAACTTCAAGTTACAACTCAATGAGACCCAAAAAATTGTACATCTTAAATTTTTGTTATCATTCTTAAATTGACCCTGTTAAGTGTATAAATTTAACCTTTTTATTCTATAGGTCATATAAATATAATAGTAATAGTAACCTAGGAAATGACCGATTCCTTGACCATATATATAATTTTTCTTTCAGAAACCACAAAAGAAGGGTAGATGTATGCACCTGAAGAGACAAATTCCTTGACTCAAACCAGAACTTATATATTGTAGTCTGTGTGTACACACACATGTAATTATGTAGACTTGTTGTTGAGAATCAACTAACTTGCTATCCTTGCATATTCAAGATCAAAGAATAAAATCCTTGATGGAGTACAACTCAGATATAGCATCACTAATATTCATTTGTTCTCCTACGAAGTGTTTTGAACAAGCAACACCAACTCCAAACACCGAAATTAACCACTTGTGATGATCCTTTTGGATTCTACAACTAAGACATTGATGTCTTCTAGTACTAGTAGTTTTCATTGACACTACTTGTGATCTCTTCCTCTTCCTTCAACTCCTGAACAAGTATTGCATCCATAATCTGCGCTACCCAGTTAGGTAAAGCTGCATAACTTAGTGATGAAGGTTCAATCCATCTCTAAACATGTCGTTAGTAAGCCTTTTTCCTGTGAACATTTCCAACAGAAGGATTCCAAAGCTACAGACATCGCCCCATGTCGATGCAACATTTCCCATCCCATACTCTAGATTAATTGTGCATAACCAATGAAATTCAAAACTTAAGTTTGTAAATAAATTCGTTTAGAGAATGTGTTAATGCTTCAACAAATGAATAGAGGGGAATAATGAAGCTAAGTAAATAAGAGGCTTAGTCTGCGATACTAGAAAATAATCTTTTGGTATCTTTTTTTTTTTTTGGCAATTACAAAGTGGTGAGTGAAAAGTTTTATCATCTTACTAATAATAACCCTGTGCCCGAAGACCCTTTGTAAATCAGCTAAAACATTATATATATTGGAGCGGATCTCACTCGCTAAAAGATTTAAACTTTTTCACTTTTCACCTTGAAAGATGAGCTTTCTCACATTGGATACTCAATATATTAAAAAAATTATTAGGACCCTCCCGTTACCTTCTGTTACTTATTCTATTGAAGTTGGCTGAATGAGTAGCCGAAACTAACATAAGAGCCACATTGCAACATTTTAATATATTGATAATGCAATGTGAGAAATATAATCTTTGAGGGTGCAAAGTAAAAATTCTTAAATTTTTCAGTATGCAAAGTACAATTCATCATATATATATTGTCCAACATTTAACAAAAAACTAATTAATCAATTAGGAAATGAAATGATTTTTGAGCTAAAGTTTCTTTTAAAGTTAAACCTAGCTATAACAGTACTCATGCATACATATAGTTTGAAGCGGCACACTTGCATATATATATATATTAGACAACATTGTAAAGTAAAGCTTATTTATTACCTGGGGTAGCATAACTAGTCAATCCTCTTGCACCAATAGAACTTGCTAAACTTATTGACACATTTTTGGGTAGTGGGTGTTGGAAGGAGTCTTGCTATACCAAAATCACCTGCTTAACCAACCAACTCTTTGTCCAGAAGAACATTGCTTGGCTTTATATCACGATGAACTATTGGTGCAAGGATACCATGGTGAAGATAATCCAGTGCATAAGCAACATTAATGCCAATGTTTACTCTCTGAAGAAGGTTTAACTTCAAATCTTCAATTTGATTAGGATGTAGATATCGCTCTACACTACCATTTTCCATGAATTCATAAACCAAAGCTTTAAAATCGTTGCCCTGATAATCAACGCTCGAACATGCAGTTAACACTTTCACAAGATTTCGATGTCTAATACTCCTCAACGTCTCACACTCTGCTATGAAACTCTTGGAAGCTTCATGATGTGATAGGTTAAATACCTTCACAACAATAATAGTTCCATCAGGATCAAGAATTCCTTTATACACAGACACGAAGCTACCCATACCAATCCAATTGGTTGTAGAGAACCCATCAGTCGCTTGAAGGAGACTTTGATAAGACACTTTCAAGAGTGAGTTTCCTTCTAAATCTGAAGAAAGTTTTTGTTGGTTTTTCTAAATCGACAGATGAATAGAAAACCCAGTGCAAGAGTTAGTCCCAGAAGCACAAAAACTATAGCTATTGTAAGTTTAACGGTAAAAGTCGAGAAGATGTTTTTAGAACGTTTGGATTTGCATTTTGGAAGTTAAAATTCTGGAATACCCCCACAAAGATGCCTTGTTTAGGTACTAGACCCTCAAAATCATTAAATGAAAGATTCAAATATTTCAAGTCAAAGCTAGCAAAGTATTTTGGAATTTTTCCAAATAGACTGTTGCGCGAAAGATCTAATTGTTGAATCCCTTCCAAAGAACTAAAAGACATAGAAATGGTCCCCTAAAAAAATTTGTCATCCATAGATAGGACTTCCACACTTTGGCAACTATTAAGGTTGTTAGGAATTTTACCAGATAACATGTATTCAGAAACACTTAAAAAACCTAAATGTTTAATGTTTCCAACTTCAATGGCTAGTGAACCAATCAATTGGTTGTAAGATAAATCCAAAAATATGGATAGCGAAGAGATATCAAAAACCTGATGAGGTATTGTGCCATTGAGGCTATTCCACGAAAGATCAAGTGCTATCAAGTTTTGGCAATCCACCAAACTTGAAGGGATGTTTCCTTGAAGATTGTTTCTATCTAAACGGAGTTGTGTTAAAGCAGTTAGATTTCCTAAAAATGATGGAACATTCCCGAATAATTGATTGCTCGATAACTTCAACTCTTGTAGGCTTTGAAACTTTCCAATGTCGGGGGGAATGTGAACTGTGAATTGGTTGTTCGACATGTGAAGTAGTTCCAAGCTGGAAAGATTGGCTATCACACCAAGGATGCTTCCAGATATTTGATTTTCATCTAGAAACATCTATACAAGTTGAGTTGAGAGGTTTCCAATGGATTCATGCAACGCCCTTCCGAAATTTTTTATATTCATAGCCAAAACTGTTAAATTGGTGGCATTGGTCAAAGTGGAGATAATGCTCAAATCATTTTCCTCTCCACTTCCCAAGTGATTGCTACTGATGCCAAACTTGAAAAGCTTATAACACTTTCCAAGATGAGGTACTTTTCTAGTGAGTTTGATTAAGAATAAGGTTTTATGGTTTTAGGTTTTAGGGTTTAGGGTTTAGGGTTTAGGTTTTAGGGCTTAGGGCTTAGGGTTTACAGTGTTTAGGGTTTCAAAAAGTTTTTTAGAATTCTAGAGAGAGAACCTCTGTCTTCTCTCTAAAAATTTTCCTTTCATGAGTTCATCACCTAAGCAACACCAAATCGCACCAAAACCTCCAGATTTATCCACCAATACTTCTCAATTTTTTGTTTCACTATTAAAAAATCATACACAACATCTTACCAATGAACCAATACAACTAAAGATTGACAAGCCTATAGTCTTTTATGAGGGTGAGCTAGCCTTTTATTTCACCAATGAAGAAATAAAGGAGTCAAGTAAATCTTTACAATATGCCTTGATTGGTAAGTGTTCTTATGGAAGACCTTCTCTAGGAGTCATTAAAGAAGTTATCATATCAAAGTGGAGTTTAAAAGGTTCTTTTGAAGTGGGATCAATTAATCAAAGACATGTGCTTCTAAGGTTTGAATTGCATGAAGATTATGTGAAAACTTGGCTGAAAGATGCTACTTTGATAGAGGATTACCTTTTCAGATTTTTCAAATGGTTTTTAGGGTTTGTTCTGGGCATAGAACCTTCAATTGTACTTCTTTGGATATCACTGTCTGGATTGCCTTTGAACTTCTTCAATAAACCTTACCTTGAAATTTTGGTAAAACCCATAGGAAGAGTTTTGGCCTATAACCAGGCAACACTCTCTCTGTCCAAACCAGGTGTGGCAAGGGTATACATAGAGGTGAATCTATTACTTAACAATTGAAGCAAGATTTGGATTGACATGGGGGAGGAAGGAGCTCCTTGGCAGAAAATAATCTATGAGAGAGTTGATGAGTGAAAAATATTTCATATTTGAAGGCCTCATTACATGCATTTTAACTCAACTTTTGCATTTAAGTACTTAGAGTTAGCCAAAATTATGAATAATGTTGATATTTTCGATGTTGCAGGTAATTATAGTGTAAATCATGTATTTTAGAACCTTGCAACCTAGTATGGATGTGTGTTGAAGGCATGGACACATTAAATGAGGATTGGGAGGCTTGGAAGGTGAAGAAACCAAGAGAAATNATCAAGTCCACAATACAGATAAGGTAACAATAAATAAAATTAGTATAGTAGCATATATTGGCCAAGAAATAAGGAATATAGGGAATGACGATTCAATTATAATTATGGAAAGCGGACAACATTCGGGAAAAGATAATTTGGGGGATATGGGAAAATCTACACTATCTAAGGAAATTGAATACGCCCAAGATGCAGAGAATCCTTTTGTCCATGCAGAGAACATTGTCATTGCAAAAGACGAGCAAGGTGAGCAGGATGCTAATGTTAATATTACTTGGGTTCATCAGGAGGTTAATGGCATCCAGAACAGTAGAGCTTGTTCACTCCCTACAAATGAAGGTTTAATAGTGCATGATGAGTATACTCATGTTGCAGGAATACATAAAAGTAGTATGTGTAATACACTTGGTGATGAGGGTCAATGCTACCTAAATAAATAATATCTTGATGTTGTGGACTCCAATTTTTTGATAGAGCACAATTAAGTTTGTATGGAAGCCCCTACTATAACTAAGGATGATGATAGAGGTTTGCAAATACAAAAGGAGCCCCCAAATAATGGTTATTATTCAGATGGGGAATTTTTAAGAAGTACAGTTTGTGTGGAAGTACATTCGCAAGGGTCTGATGAAGTAGAAAATACTGATGTGGAATGCAACCTGCAGGATCTGCCCAGGTTAGGAGTTATTACTAAATCGAGGTCTAGAAAAGTTCCCTACTCAGTTAATTAAATGGTTAGTGCAATCATTTGGAATGTGAAGGGAGCAAACCAAGAGGCCTTTAGGCTGAGGTTGAGGCAATTAATTAACATGCATGATGTCAGTTTGGTTGTGGTGTTAGAACCAAAGTTAAAGACTTCAAAATTATATCAGCTATACGAATATGTGTTTTTCATCTTAATTAGCTGATCCATTAGCTGGTACACACATGTGGGTGTTGTGGGATCACAGAGTAAAGGTGAGTATAGTATCTCCTCATGAACAAGCTCTCACAGTGGAGGTTTCTTACTTGGGATCAGAACCTTTTTACATAACTTTTGTCTATGCTAAATGCAAACATATTCAGAGAAGGGCTCTGTGGATTTATCTAGCTGATTTATCTATTGTTTCTAAGCCATGGATGGTGGTGGGAGATTTTAATACCATCGTTTCTTCGGAGGAGAGGAAAGGAGGATATATTCATAGTTTATCTATTATGAATGAGTTTGCTTCTATTATAAACTCACTGGCCTTGCAAGATTGCGGTTATGTTGGTTCAACTTTTACCTGGTGAAACAAACACCAAGGAAGGACTAGGATGTGGCAACAATTAGACAGAGCCTTGGTGAATGTAGAATAGGGGAAAGGCTATCTACAATGTCTGTTGAGCATGTTGGTATGGGTCAGTCTGACCATTGCCCACTTATAGTGAAGTTTGAAGAGACTATTTTTGTACAAAGAATTTCATACTTTAAATTTCAAAATATGTGGATTGAGCATAGGGATTTTCTGAAGCTAGTGGAAAGGAACTGGTCTGGCCATTATTCTTCAGATCCAATTGAAAATTTATTTCTTAAGTTAAAGTTTTTAAAAGGTATTTTGAGGTGGAATAAGGACACATTTGGTAATGTCTTTGACAATATTAAAAGGCTTGAGGCACAGTTAGTTTGTAAAGAGACAAAATATGAAAGAGAAGCTTCTAAACNAAGAATAATCAAGTCCACAATACAGATAAGGTAACAATAAATAAAATTAGTATAGTAGCATATATTGGCCAAGAAATAAGGAATATAGGGAATGACGATTCAATTATAATTATGGAAAGCGGACAACATTCGGGAAAAGATAATTTGGGGGATATGGGAAAATCTACACTGTCTAAGGAAATTGAATACGCCCAAGATGCAGAGAATCCTTTTGTCCATGCAGAGAACATTGTCATTGCAAAAGACGAGCAAGGTGAGCAGGATGCTAATGTTAATATGACTTGGGTTCATCAGGAGGTTAATGGCATCCAGAACAGTAGAGCTTGTTCACTCCCTACAAATGAAGGTTTAATAGTGCATGATGAGTATACTCATGTTGCAGGAATACATAAAAGTAGTATGTGTAATACACTTGGTGATGAGGGTCAATGCTACCTAAATAAATAATATCTTGATGTTGTGGACTCCAATTTTTTGATAGAGCACAATTAAGTTTGTATGGAAGCCCCTACTATAACTAAGGATGATGATAGAGGTTTGCAAATACAAAAGGAGCCCCCAAATAATGGTTATTATTCAGATGGGGAATTTTTAAGAAGTACAGTTTGTGTGGAAGTACATTCGCAAGGGTCTGATGAAGTAGAAAATACTGATGTGGAATGCAACCTGCAGGATCTGCCCAGGTTAGGAGTTATTACTAAATCGAGGTCTAGAAAAGTTCCCTACTCAGTTAATTAAATGGTTAGTGCAATCATTTGGAATGTGAAGGGAGCAAACCAAGAGGCCTTTAGGCTGAGGTTGAGGCAATTAATTAACATGCATGATGTCAGTTTGGTTGTGGTGTTAGAACCAAAGTTAAAGACTTCAAAATTATATCAGCTATACGAATATGTGTTTTTCATCTTAATTAGCTTATCCATTAGCTGGTACACACATGTGGGTGTTGTGGGATCACAGAGTAAAGGTGAGTATAGTATCTCCTCATGAACAAGCTCTCACAGTGGAGGTTTCTTACTTGGGATCAGAACCTTTTTACATAACTTTTGTCTATGCTAAATGCAAACATATTCAGAGAAGGGCTCTGTGGATTTATCTAGCTGATTTATCTATTGTTTCTAAGCCATGGATGGTGGTGGGAGATTTTAATACCATCGTTTCTTCGGAGGAGAGGAAAGGAGGATATATTCATAGTTTATCTATTATGAATGAGTTTGCTTCTATTATAAACTCACTGGCCTTGCAAGATTGCGGTTATGTTGGTTCAACTTTTACCTGGTGAAACAAACACCAAGGAAGGACTAGGATGTGGCAACAATTAGACAGAGCCTTGGTGAATGTAGAATAGGGGAAAGGCTATCTACAATGTCTGTTGAGCATGTTGGTATGGGTCAGTCTGACCATTGCCCACTTATAGTGAAGTTTGAAGAGACTATTTTTGTACAAAGAATTTCATACTTTAAATTTCAAAATATGTGGATTGAGCATAGGGATTTTCTGAAGCTAGTGGAAAGGAACTGGTCTGGCCATTATTCTTCAGATCCAATTGAAAATTTATTTCTTAAGTTAAAGTTTTTAAAAGGTATTTTGAGGTGGAATAAGGACACATTTGGTAATGTCTTTGACAATATTAAAAGGCTTGAGGCACAGTTAGTTTGTAAAGAGACAAAATATGAAAGAGAAGCTTCTAAGCCCAATAATCAGGCAATGTTGAATGCCAAAGAAGAATTGGAGAGAGCTTTAAAGATTGAGAAAATTTTTTGGAGGCAAAAGGCAAATGTGAAGTGGGCAGTTGAGGGGGAGAGAAATACAAAGCTGTTTCATGCACTAGCAAGAAGCAAAGTTGTTAGGAGTAGAATAACAAGAATCAAGAATGAGGAAAATCATTAGGTGGAGGAGGAACAAGGGATTGCAACTTGTGTTGTGGAGTTTTTCTCAAATTGTATAAATCTAAACCCCATAGATTGGAGGAGGATTTGTTTGATGTTATTCCAAAGTTAGTTATTGATGAAGATATTGCTATGCTCATCGCCCCAGTTACTTTTGAAGAGCTTAAAGAAATGGTTTTCTCGATGTCTATCTATAGTGCTCCTGGTCCAGACGGCTATTCAGGTCAATTCTTTTAGAGTACTTGGGACATTATCAAGATGGATCTGCTGGTTGCTACTAATTTTTTCTTAGAGGGAGGGGAAGTTCCCAGGTCTGTTAATGCTCCTTTATTGTCTCTTATCCCTAAGAAGGAGAATCCAACAACTTTTGCAGAATTTAGACCAATCAATTTGTGTAATTTTCTGTATAAGATTTTTACAAAAATTCTGACATCAAGACTGGGGGTTTTGCTTCCCAAGCTGATTTTAGAGGGGCAACAGGGATTTGTTAAGGGAAGGAATATTGGGGATTGCATTGCACTTGCACAAATGATGGTGAATGAGTTGGATAGGAAGGTGGAAGCTGGGAATATCATTGTGAAGTTGGATATGATGAAGGCATTTGACAAGCTTGAATGGGACTTTCTACAACATACTCTAAACAGCTTTGGTTTTTTAGATTCTTTTATGGGTATTATCTCCAATTGTCTTCAAAATCAGAATTACTCTTTAGTAATTAATGGCACTAGGCATGGCTTCTTTCCAAAATCAAGGGGACTTAGACAGGGTGATCCTTTGTCTTCTAGTCTGTTTATTATGGCAGAGGAGATTTTAAGTAGAGGTTTGAAGGATAACTTCCAGAGGGGATTGGTGAAATATTACCATGTAAGGAGATGTTCGATTCCACTTACACATCTGCTCTTTGCAGATGATACACTCATCTTCTTGAGAGGAAATAAGAATTCTATGATAAATTTATCAAAATTTATAAAGAGGTACGAGGGTTCATCAAGACAGCTAGTTAACACACACAAAAGCTCTATGTATTTCTCAAACCACATTACCTTGTCAAGGAAAATATGTTATTTCGGACTGCCCACATTCCTTTGAAGGTTTGTCCTTTTACTTGTTTGGGTTATCCCATCATAAAAGGTAGGGTGAAGCTAATTTACTATGAGGTGTTGCTGAGGAAATTCTAGGTGAAGATTGAGGGGTGGTATTAAAAAATGCTGTCACCTATGGGTAGATTGGTATTGATTTAGTCAGACTTGAATTCAATCCTAGTCCATCTAATGGCTTCCTTAAACCTTCCAAAAGGTATAATTTCTAAGTTGAACTCTATTATGACAGCCTTTTTATGGTCTGGAAAGTCAAGTGTAAGGAGAAGACATTGGGTTTCTTGGAAGGTGATTACCATGCCTAAAGATGAAGGAGGCCTTGGTCTCAGAAAGTTTGAAGATGGTCAAAGTGCTTTTTGCATGAAACAGGTATGGAATCTTCTAAATACTAATTCTTTATGGTCTAAAGTATTTTCTAGTAAATTCTTGTAGAATCAGCACCTCCTTGCTAGCTCAATAGGAGGAAAGTTTAAGAGTTATAGGGAATTGGCTCCATGGTTTGACCTGGTTATGGAGAATACCCTATGTTGGTAGGAATTGGATCATCTCTAGACTTCTGGTGTGGCAAATGGTTAGGTGGTGGTCCTCTAGTTCTTCAGAATTCTACAAGACCTACAATATTCCCAAAGCTATCGTAGTTGTATGTGGATAGACATTGGGAATTGGGAGATATCCAACAGTCTCTGGATACTACTTTGTTACATAAGGTGTTATCTTTTCAGCTGGCACAGAGTTCAGAAATGGATAGGCTTATTTGGCAACCTACTTTTATGGCCCAATTTTATATAAAATCAGCTTGGCATATTGTAAGGAGAAGAGGTCAATTCAATGTCCAGGTAACAACTATTTGGAAGCAATATGTTCCTCCAAGTGCCAGATTGATAGAATGGAAAATATTACATCACTCATTACCTATAGATGAAACATTTCAGCAGAGAGGGGTTTTCTTGGCCAACAGATGTGTTTTGTGTCAAGATGACTGTGAATCTATTGGCCACATCTTTGTCCAATGTAGATATGCAAGGATAGTATGGGACTCTACATCAACTTAATTGGGACTTCAATTGATTGGCAATGAAGATCCCCTTTGTGACGCCCCTAAAATTGGGGCTCCTTTGTCAACCCGTTAATCACCCATTAACTCGTGAAAATACCCGTGAATGTCGCATAACCCAACACCATGGCACAACATCCCCTTTACCGGGATCACAAAACTCATATAACATCAATTACAATCCATTCCAAACATATACAACCTCATACCAAACTCATATAACATCAATTTTAAGCAAAAGACAGTTCATACGAGTTTACATTACAATTCTTTCCAATATTACATGTCCAAAACCAAATTACATGAAATTTTCACAAAATATGGTTTAAAAGCCACAAGTTGGCTTTTTTTCTTCATTGAGGGCCTGAATGAGAGGCTTCCACCGGTGTAAACCCCGCACCTAAATTTTTTTCCTATAAATGGTGAGCCATGGTCATTAGGGTATCTTCTAAAAAGGCTACTCCCCAACCTAATTGCATATGAAATGCTCATATGCAACATTCAACAAGCAACAACCCTTCCAAACAAGAATATGCAATTCAATATTGAAAATCACAATGTCATGCTATGAAATGAGATGAGACTCACTCATGTACTTCAACCCAAGCCTTCACCAGTTCCCATCACCCATGTAATGACTATTTAAAATCTCCGGGTCTTTCTTGGGGTGGGTATTTATGGACTTACACCAATAAGCACCCAACCGACATGGAATTTATGGACTTTCACTAATGGTTTCGCATACATCGACACACTTTATGGACTAAACCAAAGGAGTGCGTATCCTAATCACTAGGTCTCTCACCCGAGGGATAGTCTAGCCCTTCTTGCTAACCCCGACCCAATTGTCAATGCACATAGTGCAACTCAGCCGAATCTTATATCCAAATTTCTCGAGCCCACTCATCGTACACCAAGTTTGGTGTTTGATGACAACCATACACACGCACCCATACTCATGCCTAATGCCCATGAATGCGATGTCTCCGTGCATATGCAATGTAATGTACGATTGCAATACTATATCATGTCTAATATATATGAGTGTCATATGAACAATCTTAACCACATTTCAACATACACCATGATTAATTATATCATAAGCATATAATTTTCATAAATCCTCATAATATCAATATATCATCTAGCATGTATCAAAATCTACATTCAACAACAATTTCCTAAGCATGTTATAGATAATCTATGCAAAACACACATAATTTCACATGGACATTAAATCAAACACCTTTAAGTCACAAAATCCTGTAATCACATAAAATGCTCAATTTCATCACATAACTCAAGAAATTACATTAAGTAATTTCTACATACCCAATTCAAAATAAAATTTATTCTACCCATTTCTAATATCCATTTCATCAATTTACAACAATAGGCAAGTGTTAAATACGTCTAATAACCTACTCACTTCATATAATCACCCTAGGTTGAAAATAAATCTAATTAGGATAAAAATCCTACCTCTTGAAGCATAAAATAACCGTAGGAAGCTTTAAGAACCCAAAACAAACTCTAATCCAAGCTATCTCCAAAATCTCATTTTTAAAACTTCGGTGAAATTCGTCCTTTTTGGTATGATTGCATAGCCCATGATGAGGAAATCGACTTTTATTTTTGGCTCGTGTTGATTCGAGCGATGGGAAGGCGTAGATCGTAGAGAGAAGTTTGAAAATCCCACTTTTTCCCTCTCTCCCCTTTCCAATGTGAAGTCCCCGCTGGAAATGGGGAGAAAATCAAATTTTCTCCCCTATTTATACCCTTTAATTGTTTGGTCCACATTTTTGCCACATGTTCTCCTTTTTTGGGTCCGATTTTGATCCGAATCAATTAAATTTCGTCTCTGTTCAAGTTTAAAATATTTTTATTTCAGCTTACTTTAAATTATTATCCAATTTTTGGAATTTTATTCCCGGGTTTGTTTATGAGGTCACCCGACACTTGATCGCTCTGTAAAAATGCGAAAAATTCATCTATCTGGAAATTAGACAAAAATTGACTGGGTAGCTAGATTTTACGAGATGAATCCAACGGTGAGGTCTGTTTCATCATTCAAGTTCTAGAAAAATTTGGGCTTTCAACTCATACTGTAGTGACAAATTATCGTTGTGCCATTTTTTATAAAAAGTTCAAATTTACCCAGGTTTTACACCCTTACCAGATTTATGAGATATGTGAGAAAGTTTAAACATGTTTCAGTCAGTCATGCTTTATTAAGGTGGATATCTTTGATAGTGTATTGGCAGTTATGGCAAGAACGATGCAGAAGCCTCGATGAGGACAACAGATTACATCCATACACCTTGTTCAGGAAAATTATGTACTTTCTGTGGTTGCAGGTGTATACCGTTAGACCAAAGGCGATGGATTCCACTCAGGAGAAGGAGCTATTCCATTCATTAAATGTGTGTCAATTTAAAAATACTAAAATGTTCTCTTGGTGGATTGCTTGGAAACTCCCAGCTGAGGGTTTGCTTAAGCTCAACATAGATGGGACTTCTAAAGGAAATCCTAGAGAATCATGAGGTGATCGTATTATGAAATTCTGGAGGTCAGATGGTTCTTATTATTATGGAATATGCACGAATATGGAGGCAGAAATAAGGGCCTTACTCAGTGGTCTTCTTCTCTTACAAGAACATGGCCCCCAGGACTATGAGTTAATTATTGAGATTGATTCTAAGATGCTAGTTGATGTGGTAAATCAGAAGATTAAGGCATCATGGAAATTCTGGACTATCTTGGTTCAAGTCTTTTCTTTGCTTAGGCATTTCAATTTTCAGATTCATCATACTTATCGAGAGGGGAACATGGTGGCTGATTCATTGGCAAACACAGGGGTAACAAATAGGCATTCCATCACGTATGTATCTACATAAAATATCCCTCTACCAAAAAAGCTTCTTATGTTGCAGGATATAATGCAAGTGAGAAACTTGAGGAAAAAGGTCTTATCTAGATGAGAGGGTTTTTTGGTCGTCTTTGTTTCTAGGCATCATTCATACAACATGATTTTTTCTGTTCATCTCCTTAGCTGGTTGTCCTCCTTTTTCTCCTAATCTTTTCTCTAGAGGTCTCATTCACTATGCCTCTTGGTTTTCTTTTGGTCTCTTCAGTTGATGTGATATAGCTAAGGGGCTTATCAGTGTATTGGTTAGCGTTTGGAGTTTATGGCTTTCATCTTTTCCTTATTGTACCTTTCTTAGAGATCTCAGTATATAGAACCTTCATGCATTTGACTGTTGGGGTCCCTCTCTGCTTCAAATCATCCACTATATTGGGCTTTTGTATCTTCAGATGATCTGTCTGCTTCATATTGGATCACTGTTTTGGATTACTTTACTCTGGATTACATCTTATATGTCTAGTCTTCTCTCACTTATTTGGACCCAAATTGTGGAACTTCTCATTTCTATGCTGGACTATTGTTGGTTATTCATCTTCTACAAAGGAATTCATGAAAAACAATATCTGAAACTCACCATCTTATACTTCAGCAAAGAGGATGGAGGATTTTGGTAGATCTGTATTGCAGTGGATCGTGGAAGGCTCTTCATGGATCTGTTTGACTTGGATTCTGGAGGATTCTTCATGGTTCACTTTGGATTTGTCTTTTGAAATTACTCTCCGCCTCCAGATGGTATGGGTTTTCTTCTTTTTTAGAAGTTGGTTATCCATCTTCTACTTGGTTCGAGGAAAGAAAGGGTTTTCACAGAGATATGGGAGGACTTTTTCAATTTCAGAGATATGCTCTGTATTCGTTCTGTGATTACCTATCTGACTTGCAATGGGATTGCCAATATGGCTCTTGGTTCTCTTATCAGTTGGCATTTCATTTACCTTATAAGGAGCCTAGTCAGATAGCTTATCAGAATCAAGGCCTTATCCTTATCTACCTTCTCATATGCCCTTATCAGATTAATTCTGCATTAAATTAAAATACTCCCAGCTTGCCATTCCTTGTAGCTCATCAATACTCTTACGTTATTCTTCCCATCAGCTTCCAAAGCTCTTAGCTCAAACTCCAAGCTCTTCCAACTTAGGTTTCATTCTCTGCCAGCTCATGTCTATAGCTCATCCATGCCCTTAGCTCATGTCGACTGTTGCTCCGGCAACTCATCTATGCGCTGCTCTTTTAGCTGCCACCATTAATTTTTAGGCAACATGTTTAGTATTTACATCTATTCCATTATTATTTGTTCTAGACATGTATTTTGCCTTTTCTTTTTAATTTATTTCACAAGCATGTAATTAGATTGCATCGAGGGATAAAGTACATATGTGTCCCCTTACTAGGTGTAATTTAATTTTTAATCAATAAGATTCTCTTGCAGCGTCGAGATTCCAAAAAAAAAGGGGCTTAGAGTTTAGGGTTTAGCATTAGGGCTTTAGGATTTAGGATTTAGGGTTTAGGGTTTAAAGGTTTTTAGAAAAAACCTCTAGACTTACAGCCTGCAAATCAATCACAACCCCAACCATCCTTTGCATCACTCTTTAAACAATCACTTAAACCTTTTCTTGTGGAAGAATCTACTCCCAAGATTGAAAAACCAGTAGTATTTTATGAGGGGGAGCCAGCCTTCCACTTCACCGAGGAAGAAGTGAAACAATCTTGTTTATCTTTGCAGTACGCATTAATAGGTAAATGTGCCTATGGACTTCCAAGTTTGGGAGCGATACGAGAAGTGATACGTTCAAAATGAGATTTGAAAGGAGATTTTGAGATACGATCAATGGATCCCAGCATATTTTGATAAGGTTCGAAAAGCATGAAGACTATGTGAAAATTTGGTTAAAAGATGCTACTATTATTGAAGACTACTTGTTCCGATTCTTCAAATGGTTCCTTGCATTTGATCCTGGCATAGAACCTTCCATTGTTCCTATGTGGATATATTTACCTGGGTTGCCATTGAATTTTTTCAAAAAACCTGTTTTGGAGTTGTTAGTTAAGCCTATAGGAAAGGAATTGGCATATGACCAAGTATCTCTTTCTCTAGCTAGACCTAGGGTGGCAAGAGTGTGTGTTGAAGTAAATTTACTCGCTAATAATCCCTCTAGGATTTGGCTAGATATGGGAGAAGAGGATGCTCGCTGGCAAAGGATTGTGTATGAAAGAAATAAAAAATTCTGCAAAGGATGCAGAAAGCAAGGTCATTAGGAGATTGAACGTAGGAAGAAGAAGCCATTGAACTAGACAAAGGTTGCTAAAGGAAAGATCTTATCTTCGGATTCTGCGGATGCGAAAAGGAAACTATTGAGCGGAAGAAAGGAAAGAATATTCAAACTCAGAAAAGGAAGGTATTCAAATTCAAGAAGCTGGCAATCAAGCAAAAGAGTGCAGCAGCAAGGAGTATGGAAACCACACATAAATGGTAAAGGGAAAATCATGGAAGGAAACTCTAATAAATCTTTGCAAGGTATTTCCGAGGAAATTGTAGGGAATATTTCCAAACCAACTCCTATAAATTTGGAAATAGGTGACCATTTAGGCAAGGATACGGAAATCAAAAATTCCTAGAATCCTTTGATTAACGATTCCCCCCGATCAAAGGAGTTTCCAAATGAAGAGATAGCTGCCCCATAAGCCATGGATTCAGCCAATGCAGAAACCATGGATTCAGTTGATGTGGAAGATGCAAATGCAAATGTGTACGATAAGGCAATAAAAGATATAACTATTCACGCTACTATTCATGCAGTTGTTCAGCCAACAGAAACGGAGGCTGCAACTATAGCAAAGATGCTCTCTTAGTCCTATAAGGAACCTATTCATTCTTCTTCAAACCAGCTGGATCAAGAACTTGGGTCATCTCTCTGTCACCTAAATAGGCAGTATCAATGGACTTCGGACTTCACCATTTTGTTGGGCCATCAATATATATGTAGGGAGCATTTTGGGTTATGTATGGATGACAAGAGGGGATTGTTGCACCCCAAAGAACCCTCAGATAAGGGCTTCTACTCTGACTCTAAAAATTATGCCTCATTAGAATGCCTTGAAATGGGCTCAAATAATTCAGAAAAGGATGACGGTAGCGTTGCAATGCAACAAAAACAAGATTATTCCCATACTAGTATGTGATGCATAGTTAAAATCAACATTTTACTATGCTGTTACAAAACTAATTATCCTGTGGTGGATTTTAAATGATAACATTTCAAGGAGAAAAGTTGTATAAGGGCCTAAAGTCAATAAACATCAACCTTTCAAGCAACACCCACGTGTTTTGGAAGAGAATTGGAGAAGGAAGAAGAAAAGCTACTTGAGTACCACGTTCGAACTCAAATCCATGTTCGAACTCCATCTTGAAATAATTGAGGGCCCCTAGGAGATTGCTAGGGTGATGACATGTGGCCTGCTGCAACTATCTACTGTGGATGGCAAAAACTACTTGAGTACCATGTTCAAACGTCAATAACGTTCAAACGCTCATCAAAGAAGACAAGCTTCCACGTTTGAACTCCAATAACGTTCAAACACAAATCTCAGACAGGCAGCAGGAAGATTAGATCTCAATCCAAATTTTGAGGCATTCACTTGGACTTTCAGCACCTAGAACTATTCTTTTGCTCTCCTTTTACCCCCTCCTTCTGCCTATAAATACCTTCCGTTGGAACTTGTTAAAGATCATCTTTGGAAGAGGAAGAAACCCTCCAAAAGTAACTAACTTTCTTTTACTTTCATTATTAATTTCATTAGCTTCCATTGTAAAAGTTTTTTTCTTCACTTAGAAGAGTGAAACTCTCTCGCCTTTTTAGCTCTCTTGTAGCCTTGAAGGGTGGGTAGTGATTCACCCATTCTTCATTGAATATAGGCTTATTGTGTAGTGTATTTTATCTTATAACTCCTCTACTTTGAGGGATGAAAATTACTCACTTTTCTAGCTTTCTCAAAGCCATGAAGAATGAGTAGTTTCTCATTCACTTTTTAGCAAGAGGTGATGGACATGTATAAATCATTCAGAAGTTATATTTGTGCATTTCATTTATACTTAATGTTTTATCTTTCGATTGCTCATTAAATAATTGAATGCATCCAGTAAAGCTTAAGTACTTTGTACAATCACGAGTCTTTTCTAAGACAAGTTAACTCTTGACATAGAAGGATTCATTGGTTCTTTGCAAGTACTCAAGCTAAGTCTTCATGACAACATTATAATCTTCACTATTATTGTCGTAGTTTTAAATCCGGCCCGGACATCAGCCCGGCAGAAGGACTGGGTCAACGGGTTACTGGTTCAACTGTTGGGTCACTGGTCAGACCGGTAATATAATAAAAAATAATAAATAAATAATAATAATAATAAATAAGTTAAAAAATCAAGAACAGTAGAGACAGAAAATGTATTCTACAAGTTTGAGGGCTCCTCCATGTACGAGTTCAAGCAAATTAATGGAGGTTATCCTTAATGAATCAACAATCTAGTTTTACTGAATCAATTCAAATCTTCAATCTATATCAAAATCAAAATCTATATCAAACCAAATTTAACTAAAATTTTCACCAAATCAAACTTAAATACAAACAATCTAGTTTTACTGAATCAACAAAGCCATAATAAATCTAGTTTTACGGAATCAACAAAGCCATAATCAATCAACCTGTAACCATACAATACAATATTAGTGAGTATAATATACCAATTGTAATGTTCAGAGAGAAGGGGGGAAAGAACGTACCTGCTAGTGCCTAGAGTCTCGCTTGAGGGAAGAAAATGTGTAGAGAATGAGTACTGAAGTCGATGGAGATCCAATCGAGTCCATGTCCAGCATTCGAGTCTTCACTAGCTCCACTTCCACAACACGTAGAGCGAGTGTCATTGGACATACCTTTGATCTGAGACCGTTAGACTTCAACTCTTCGATTGAGGTTCACTCCCTTTCGAGCTCCCACTGCACACTACTGTATAAAACCAGAGCAGAGTAGAGCAAGAAAGATTGAGAATCTGAGAGAGAGAGAGAGAAAGAGGGAGGGAGGGGAGCGAACGACGTCCACAAAGGGGGCTGACTGGGCAACACAATTTAGGGCAAAATGCCCAAAATGGCCAAAAATAAACCTTTCATAGTAAATTAAATGACCCACCAGGTTTGATGGAACCCATCCGGTTTGACGGTTCCAAATTTTTGCCTGTTCACCAAGTTGACTCTGGTTCTTTTGCATAAACGATCCAATAGGTGAACCGACTCGGTTTAGGCACCAGTTCACCTGGTCAATTTGTCGGGCCAGGCCGAGTTTTAAAACACTGATTATTGTGCTTTAACTAAGAATGGAATAATATCAGAGGTTGGATGACTTGTAAAATTACTTACTTGTTTGTAGACGGGTTGAGTCCCGGCACTGACAATTCTTGTAAATCTCTACAAAGACATTGGAACCATTCTCTTAATTCTCGTAGTCCATCTTTATCCTCCAATTAACTTGTTGTTGACATAGAAGTTAATTGAGTTCTCAAGCACAAATATAACAACCGGATAATTGACTACATGTCCAAATCCTCGAGCAAAAGGGTGACTCTTTCGATTAAGAGAATCTTATATTTTATCCAGGAAACTCTATAATCATCATAACTTCAAATCTCAAAGGTTCCAGTCATTTTGGTCTCTGTCACTAATTACTTCAAAACACCAACAGTAGTTCCCTGTGGATTCGATTTCGGACTTAACCGGATTATAACTACAACTTGACCGCTTGCACTTGGTGCACACATTTCGAATCAAGTCAAGTTTTTGATGTCGTTATCGGGGAACCAAAAGGTGTTTAAAATTATAAAGTGAAAAGACATTCATTTGTTGTATATATTTTTGATTTACTATATCTAATTCTTATTTTATGTCTGAGGACGATCCTCGCTTTCCTAATTTGCCAGAAGAATCTGTTGGGTCCATAAATCAATATGGAACATCTTCACCTTGATCAGTAGCAGACCCTTTTAATAATAGCATGGCCAATAATAGAAGAGAAGAGGAAGTTCTTGAGAGAGAAGGGGAAGTTCCTAACATTCAAACTCTACGAGATTATTTGCATCCCACACGAAACAGTGTCCTCTCTTGTTTTATGTTTCCTGCAAATGCGCCCCTCTTTAATATAAAGGTAGGGATAGTGCAATTACTGCCTCAATTTCATGTACTCGAATAAAAAAACACATCTGCATATTAAAGATTTTGAGGAGGTACGTGAAACATTCCAAGATAATTCTGAACTGAGCAAGTTGAAACTTTTTTCTTTTTCTTTAATGGATAAAGCTAAAACAATGGCTAAATTCTTTGAAAGCTCATTCAATACCAAATTGGCAGGTATTACAGAATGAGTTTTTTTAAAAAAAAATTTCCTCTACACTATACCAATGCACTCAAAAGGCAAATCATGAATTTTTCAGTTAAAGAGGGAGAAATATTTTACCAATATTAGGAGAGATTGAAGGATCTACTTCAAGCCTGGTCACACCATGCTTTTGAGAATTAGACTTTGGTAGAATTTTTCTATGATTCTTTGCCTATTAGACTACGTCAGTTTGTTGAAATGATGACTCAATGAGAGTTCATGAGAAAAAGTCTAGAGGAGGCATTCAATTTTTTTGACACCATATCCGAGTTCTCATATGTGGGACTTAGCCTCTCCTACCACAGTTAAAGCCAAACCATCTACTTCCCAATGGGATAAGTATGTCTTGAAAGAAGATGATGACCTGAGAGCGAAAATGACTACCTTGTCTCGAAAGCTTGAAACTCTAGAGATAAAAAAGGTAAATCAAGTTGATATTGGCCCTCCCATAGAACAAGTTCGTGGGATTTGTGCGCTGATGGACCACCCTACTGGGGAGTGTCATATCATTCCTGCATTCAAAGAGGTCTTGTTAGAACAAACAAATAAAATTTCCAAGCCTTATTCTAACCCTTATTCTGAAACGTATAATCCAAGGTGACAGAATAACCCAAATTTTAGTTAGAGGAATACACAACTAACTCCTTCAAATCCCCAACAAGGTTCACAACCACCACCTTAAGGACCTCTTGCATATCAACCGTACCAACCACCACACAAAAGAAGTCTTGAGGACACATTGAATCAGTTCATGCAAAGCTAAATGAACTACAACAATCATTCCACTCAGGCTTTCAATGACTTCAAAACCCAAACCACTCGATCATTTGAAGGTTATGTCGCGTACACTGCAAAGAATCATGACATTTCTTTCAGATAACATTTCTAGTGATCCTTACATATCTAACCTTGAACCCAACCCAGGACTGGGTAACTGATTCCAAACATCATAATTTACATTCTTCATATTCAACTTCAGTGAGGATTCCAGGTTCATTACAACCAATTAAGCTTCATTTCAAGTATTTACACCGAAGTATGAATAACATTCTTGGAAACCAAAAACAATTCAATTCCATGGCAAATTCCAACTTTGGAAGTACAAAATATTTTATACCTCTAATGAGAGTCCTCATTTTCTGTATCCTTTCTTCTCTTCTTGATTGACACTAGGTCACCTTCTGCATCAAACTCATTTGTCGACCATAGATTAATTCTACAGTCCCAAGAACCAGAACACACCTGGAAAACTTAATAAAAAGAGGGAAGTGCATGAAGATAATTTTCACACATTCAACATCGTGTATATAATCATTATCAACAAGAGAGTAAGTAATAATGGCCAAGACCATATCTCCAGAAGGCTGTGCAGCAATACTTTGCATAGAGGCATTATGCCCACGCAAAACTTTATAAGCTCTAATCTTGGAAGGATGGTCCACAGAATCCTCTGCATCAAACTTTCAGGGAAAGAGGACGTTTAATAGGAAGAAGGTCTAGTTTTAAAGGAAGAGAATGTGAACTCAACTCTAAGAGCAGTAGTATCTTCATTTACCTTCCATAGTCTTAAAGTCCTATCTTTTGAAGCAGCGGCTAAAAGTAAATTTGCACCACTTTGCACAGCTGCAAATACAGCATGACAAGATCAACAGACAAATAAAGTCAATGATGGCATATAGAAATGCACTAAATTTCAAAAATCCATATTAGGAATCTGCTATAGAGTACGGAGGAAAAGTATAAACAACTGCTTAATCAAAGGGAGCGCATAAACTTGTTTTCATGTTTAAATATTCATGGGGCTTGCCTAGCCTCAACATCTAAAAAAATAAAGGCGGCCACTGAAAAGGAACCAGCCCAATATAAAGAGTTTATCACATTAGAAAATTGAGGAATTGCCCTGTCAAGCACCTACACATATGTTGTTTCCAGCATCTAGTGAAGACAGAAATTTAATCAAGAAAAATCTAAACAGAAACAACATCCTGCTAAACCGTACTTTTTAGGTTATAAAAATTAAATTCCAAATTTTTTTCTCTCTTGTTATATTGGTAAAACCTTAAACACATTCTTGATGTTGTAATTCCAAACTAAATACTATTTTTATGTGAATCCAAAATATCTCACCCATATTTCTTGGCTTGACGATACTGACAGTGGTAACTGCATCACCATGTCCCTGCAACATATGCGTACACAATCCAGTAGATTTCCATATCCTAAAGAGGCAACTGCTTCAGGTTCCTATTTATGGAGAACAATAAATAAAGTACAATGCCAATAAAATAGAAAGAGTCTCAGAATCCATCAATATTACCTTCCTAAACCATCATTGCACCCTGTCAAAATGAACCTGCCAGAATACACAAATACATGCTAATTAGATATGAACGCAATTTCTATTGGCAAGTAAAAGAACACCAATCAATAAAAACACAACCCTCTTCCACTGCATAGTATCAATGACTCAAACAATTGTAAAAGTTTGGCTATCAAGAATGAAAATGCAGGTTCTAGAAGTCTGAGGAAGCCATTTCATCCAAAACAAGGGCGGACGATAAGCTTGCAACAGCTGTTAAGAGCTCGGCTGAATTTTCGCTCATTCAAGCTCAATTGTATATGAAAATAAACCAAATATTCGAACTTAGTTTCGTTGTGTTCAAGATTATTTGTATTGAAAACTAAATTGAATATGAACAAATTTCCAAACTCATTTTATGTTTAAGCCAAACCAAATCAATGTGCCACTCGGCTTGATAGGCTTGAGCTCAATTTGTTTATAATAAAATATATAAATATTTTTCATGGTGTACAAAGATCAACATGGTGCCCTTAGTTTAATGGATGAGGCATCTGACTTCTAAATAAAGGGTTGGGGTTAAAAATCACATTAATGAGATTGAATACAAGCTCCTAGTACAAAAACAAGAGAACCGGACCTAGCCAAACTTGACCATGAATTCAAGCTTGACAACTAAGCTCAATCTGAGCCTGAAACAATGACAATAAACTTGAATAAGCCTGAGCATACCAAAGCTCAAAAGGCTCAGCTTGATTAATACCCTTACATGCATGAACCCATCCCAATCAACCAGCAACTGCTCTGGAAGGATCACACTCACACTCGATCATGACATTCACCCTCTAATGCACCATTCAATAGTTTGATATCTGATATGCAATAACAACCTTCAAAAAATTGACATTAAAGCCTCTCAAGTCAAAGGAGTTGGATCCAACCTCCTCTTCTTTATAGGAGAAAGCTACAATTAAGAATTGATCCATGGGTGGGCAATCGCCTTTGGATTTTAACACAAATCAATTGTTAGAAGTTTGTTTTTGGGTGTCCAACTTAAAACTATGATATATACACTAAGAACTAGCAACACTGGCCAACTTCTGCAGTGTGCATTGGTCGGTGTTTCATCTAGGTGTTCCCAAATGATGTAACGTTCTATAAAACTAGTAAGTACACATTCCAATCTCACATGTTTCAAAGTTGACACCACTAAAGAATTACATGGTACAAAAGAGTCTTTGTGATTCATGCCTAAAACATATAGTATGAAGGAAAAACTCACCCGCTCCATTAGAATGAAAATTGAAAAGGGTACAAGCATCACAGTGTTTAATAACACAAGTAAATGTAAAATTGTGCAGCAATAGAGGATCCATGGTGTGGCTAGAAATTTGCATGCTTACCCAGGATTTGAACCATCAACTGCACTAACCCAATCATCATGTAAAAAGGGTTCTTTTTCTTTTCATGGTGCCACAGCCTTAATGTATTCAATTTCTAATAATTTTTCCTGCAATAAAGATCACAGATATCAAGTTGGAAATCAAGAGAATTACCACTTAGGAGTATGATGGATATCGAAAAATCAATGGTATCACTAAACAATACTTCAAGCTTTTTGGGTGTCTCAAAATTCATGTTCCAATAAAGAAGATTATCGCAGAAATGCCCTTGGCAAGAAGAAACTCTTCAAGTGACATCTGAACCAACTCCCCATCGATCACAAAATCAAATGGTTCAGTTTTCCAATCATCATTTCCTGGTAATAATCAACCAACATATCAATAACATGGCTGCATATCAGAACCCGTAATACATTAACTACACATACACTCACAGACATGGTAAAATAAGATGATACCTGCTTTAAGGAGATTATTGACCACAGCAGAGAGGCCCAATCTGGTGAGATTAGAAGGAATAGCAATAGAAGTGGGTGGAGCCTTGAAAGGAGGCTTGGGTTTGGTGACGAAGCGGACTTGGACACGCCTTGATGCCAAGTGAGTAAATTAATTCAAATTATGTTACAAAAATATTTCAAACAAATGGGTCTTATCAACGTATTGAATCTTTTGTGGGAGAAGGCATAATAAAATATTCAGAATAATCCCTAGGGAACCCATCAACAAAGCAATTCACATCCACTTAACATCACACAAATGACATATTGAGGGGCAAAGAAAGGCCCTCAACAACCCCAACAATCCTTTTCAACACCATAACACTTCTTTTCGAACCTCAATAAAACCATAGTTGAATGTAAGAACACAAATAGATAAATAGGTATATCCACATGTGTACACATAGAAATTACCTTTGCTTAGCTTTTGCAACAATCATCATGATTCTTCTACTGATGCAATGCAAACCGAAATAGAGAGAGAATAATAGCTAGTTACTGATTTAGAAATGCGGAGGAGGATAGGGGGTCAATTGTACAAATATATTAAGCAAGAGCCAGCCAACATGCAATTGTTGCCTTGTTGGTCCCTCACTTTATTTTGTCTCAGTGTTTCTAAACCACACAGAACATCAATGACATAAAGTTTGTTATGGTAACAGCAACATCCTTTGACAACTTAATTGTTGCCAATTACAACACAACAATTGCCAATGCTACATTTTTCAGTTGTCCCCATGTAATTAAGTATTACATAGTATTCAAGAAGTAATTACTATAAAAGTAATGTTATTGGGAGCAAAAAAGATGATATAATTTGATGACCTAATGATATGACAATGACATGGTCCAATAGAATTATTGCAACTATAACTATTGGACTTCTTCATTGGGACTCAACACTTGACACATCATTAAGTCACAAAATTAAGTCAATTTTTAAAGTCCTAATGGCATTACTCTTATTATGAATCCTATCCTTACTATAATATATAATTCATAAAAAAGTACATAATTTATAAGTGCACATTTTTACACATGAATTTTTGACATAGAAATATACATATAGAGTCAATGTCATATGACATGTATATGTAGGTATACATCATATAAATAGAGATGCATAAGATGAATTAACATATTTATAGGACAAACATATATTAGAATAGGCATTCTGCTCTCTCTTTTTGTGTGCCAGGGAATGTATCAACACGGTGAACAAGACAACTAGATTTTGGCTTTTCCTTCCATGAGATGAGCCAAGTTTTAGCCTGCCTTCCATCAAGTATAAAAAACCTTAGTGCTACCTAACTGCTGACATACTAGGGAGTAGAGTCATTATTAGCGTCATATCTTCGTATAGTGCCTTTTATTTTACTAACTGCAATAACAACCATTTAAGCCAAAAATAGAGAACCCTTCTACCAGAGGAAGAGAGGTGCAACCAGCAACGGCTATAAGTTCTGTCTACATAACGGGTACAAGTGTAGAACACTATTACATACGAGAAAAATACGCAATTGCGTTCTATAATTCCATTCTAAATTATTTTAGCATCCACCCCTTCTAGATTGAGCAGGCGTAGTAAATTAAAGCTACCTATACATGTCAACATTCAACCAATTTAGTTTGAACCAACACAGATTGTAATTGTGCTCTAATAATCAGTCACTGGGTCTAGCTCGTAAATCAGGTGTACCTGAATAGTCAATCAATGATTCAAAACTCTACAAATTTTACAAATACCATTTCTATATGAGCTCCTCTAAGTAAAAAAGATGACATAACCTATTACAAAATACAATCTTGTGTACCCATTTATCCAATAAAAAATGACATAATAAATACAACCATTTATATAAATAGTGAATCTTTGAACAAATCATCCAACAAGAATATCCCACAAGACAGAACACTGAGAAAACATACCACTGACTCTCGAAGTCAATCGCAAAGAGAGGATAAGCTTTAGTATGCTCTAAGCATAAATAGATTCTTAGAGAGGGAGAGAGGGAAGGAATAGCAGCGATGACACAACAACTTCTAGGGTTTAGGGTTTATCTTTGTTGTTAGAATAACGAATTAGGAAAAAATGACCCATATTTTCACCGGCGAACCCAAGTACTATACTCAAAACCCGGGCTCTATTAACAGTAGGCTTTGAACAGATCGGATATGGACCACATTGGTCTATACTGAAGCAGAATTCGATTAAGTTTTTGTCGATCCCATCATGTCCGTTATTCAACGGATTTAAAAAATTTCAATCTATATCTGAATTTTTTTATTTTTTGATATATGATTCGATCCAATTATCACAAAAAATATATGTACACCAAAAAATTAATAATAAGAATTTAAATAATTAACTAAAAAATGAGGAAAAATGAAAAATTAAAGTAAAAGTAAGACAAAAATTGAACAAGAGAGGGAAAAAAAAGTGGGTCATACATTATAATATTCACTTCATATCTATTTAAACGAAGACAGATTTAGATTCGAATCGAATTTAAATTAAAATCCAGTCAATTGACAGGCCTAGTTAACGGCGAAGGAGCGTCTCTAACGACAAAGGGTGATGTCAACCTTATTTTTGAGGAATAGATAATAGGCTCGAATCATATGGCTCTACTGTCCACTTTTTTTATTTCGGACAAATCACACGTTACTCCCTAAAATATCTTTTGATTTCCATTTTACACCATAAAAATTTTGATTTTATATTCTCAATCTCAAAAAATTAAATCAGTGTGACCCAAATAAAAAAGTCATTTAAAAATGAAGCACACAACTTGCAAGTGGTATTGACATGAACTTAACTACAAAACCATTGTGATTTTGAAATGCCACTTGCCAGTCACATGTTTCGTTTTTACACTAAAATTATAACAATAATTTATGTCTTGACCACATTGATATGATTTTTTGATGTTAAGGGTTCAAGCTGGATTTTATTATTTTTGAATTTCAAATTGAGAATGAGAGAAACTTTTCATAGTGTAAAATATGATTCATCCTTTTATTTCATAAATAGTTACACTCATAGTCTGTGTGTATCTTCTCTTTGTATTCCCAATGAAATTTAAAACTTGGAATGAGTCGATTAGTTTTCACATCAATCCATTTTTAGATCATCTTCAAAAGAGCCTCAAATTCTTATGTACATTTAAGTAAAAAAAATGGATAAAAAATTTAATTTGACATGAATCTCTTTAATAGATAAATTTATTTTTGGGTTAATCTCAACTTATACCTTAAAAGATCACTCAGATCTTAATTTGTACCCTCAAAGTTTAAAATATTAACTTATACCTTCAAAGATATAAATACGTATTAATGTGCACCTGTGACTAATTGTCATTTATTTTGCCGTTAAAAAAGTTTGAGTTAATTCTAAATTGTATCCCCTCAAAGTTTAAATATTTCACATATATGATTTAAAAAAAAAATCATCCATTAATGTTCGTTAAATGGGTCTCAATTGTATCGTATCATAACATTTTTGTGTTATGTTCGAGTCAATAAAAAAATATTTTTAACACAAAAAATATTTTCGTGTCAAGTCTATTGCGTTGTGTCATATATTTCACATTTACAAAAATTCATAAAATATTATTTAATATTTTTTTAAAATAAAAAAATGACTTTTTTTTGCCTATAATACTCGTTAAATAACTATTTTTGATCTACAGTTGTGTTATTTGTATCTAACTTTAATTTGATCGTTTAATTTGATCAGACAATCAAAAGATTGGTGTCTAACTATAAACAAAAAATAGTTGTTTAACGAGTATTATATGCAAAAAATAGGCATTTTATAATGTTTTTAAAATTTTAAAAATATTTTTTTATTGACTCGAACACGACACGATACGAATATGTTATGATACGATACAATTGAAAGTTATTCAACGAACATTAATAGATGAAAATTTTTTTGTATCATAAATATGAAAATATTTAAACTTTGAAGGGTATAACTTATAATTAGTTCAATCTTTTTAATTGGATGAAATTATTTTCAGGTGTACATTGATACAAATTTAAGTCTTTTAGGGTGTGAGGATACAAATTAAAATTTGAGTGATGTCTTGGGGAGTGCAAGATGAGAGTAGATCTCCATTTTTAGACTCAAATCTTTTTTTCCAAACTCTCATCTGATCCCCAGTGCTTTATATCCCTAAATCGACCATTCAAATGGCAACATGATAAAAACTGGTACAAGAAAATGCAACTTAGATGGAATGGTCTTCAACTCCTCCGATCGTCTATTTTTTAAGCATTGCTTAAAATAGGTGGCTTTCTTCTCCACGTGAGAATCACATTCTATAGTTCACAACATAGCAGAGAGAGAGTTTACTGTAGGAAATGATTGGCAAATACGTGTGGAGAAGATGAAGTGGAGGCAAGGTGAAGAAGACGAAGTGGTGAAAGGATTTTTAGACCATTGGGATTTGGGTTTAGGGCATCTCCAACCCTCACTCAAATTTAAATTTCAGTATAAAAGTTTAAAAATTTTGCTCTAACCTTAATATCATCGGTAATGGAGACTCAAACTCTTGATTTGGTATAAACTTCGTTAATAGAAAAACCAAAACTTAAAGGAAGAGAATTTTTTTTAAATGAGAACAAACTCAAATTTTAAAAAGGGTAAATATGACCATTAAATCTTTAAAAATGATGTAATCTCACAATTGGCGAAAAAGATAAGGATTTGAGTCTCTCTTTATTTGAGTTTTAAAAAAAAGTTTTCTTCATTTAGTATGAATATGAGTCTAGCATTACAAAAGATTTTTAGTAATTTTTTTTACCTTTTTAAAAAAAATGGTACAAAAAGGGTAAAGGCTAGAGATGCTCTAAGGGATGAAAAAATACTCATTACAACGGTGATACCACGCAGTAAAGTAATGTGATATTACCAGACAATAATAGTAAAACAAATAAGCAGATGAATTCCACAAAAATCAATAACTAACCTATTATGTAAGCAAATAAATTCTCATTCTCTTGCCATGCAAGCTCAAGTGGGGTTCACCTTTTATATTTGGGGTTTTACTATTGGTTGGTGATACTATATCATCAATAGTGACATGATATCACCGTTACATTCAATATTTACTCGAGAAGAGAAAATATTCATTACAAGGGAGACTCATTTTTTCATTTTTTTATTCAAATCAAAAGAGATTCAAATCCTTATCAAAATTTTTAATGGTGAAAATCTTTTAAATATCCAGTTGTCATTTTTACTCTCTTTTAAATTGGGTTAATCCTCATTTAATTTAGGCTTTTTCTTTTTTAAATTTGAGTTTGTCAATTTGAGCATTTTATATCAAATTAAGTTTTTTACTTAAATATTAATTTAAATTTAATTAAAAATTTAAGTTATAGTTAGAGGTGGGTCTTGGAGAAGAATTTTAAATTATTTTTACCCAAATTTTAA